TATCAAGAGTAAACATGTATTAGATCAACCTGTTTGAGTCAAAAGACTTTCATAGTATATATGATTACTTTATCAACAGATGTCTATTCCAGGTTATAATCAAGAGACAGACCAAGTATTTTGCACCCAAATTTTATATCCCAAACAGGTTATCTGATGATTTATCATGCTACCATAGGAAATTTGAAGAAATAACAAATTTTGCAACATAAATAGACATGCAATATAGAAGGACATAAAACATACAGCTTAACCCTGGATTTTTCCCTTAGAATAATTCCTTCCATAAATAAGACTTTGCTTTTTACATATAGACTTCGCTATATCTGGTCTGGGATCATGAAGAAAGTTAACTACACAGTTTATAAAAAAAAAAAAAGCTCAACTACATTTTTATTTTAAAATTTTTTTAGTTTTTTTCTCTCTCCAAACCACAAAACAACATTCTCCAAGTGGATGCTCAGGTCAGGTTATGATGCTCTTAAATGAACACATTTATTCAGGCTTGAAATATAAATCACGCAACTACTTGCAGCAGCAACAGTCTTTTCAAAATTGACTAACACAAACTTTTAAATATAAAGCATATAAAAAGGACTATTAAGGATAGTTTTCCAAAGTGTATCTAGAAAGACAGGAAAAATATTTGTTGCCTCATAATAAAGTTAAATAAATATTCCTTCTGAATCCTATAAACACTGTGAGATGCTTTGAGTTTATTTGGTTCCCATAAGTTAAAAAATATGATTGCTTTTACATAAATTCCTCCAAATTTTATCTACTCTCAAACGTATTGATGTCTTCACTAGACTTGGAGATTATCTCATTCAGAAATGTGCTTTTTTGTTGGTTTTAATAACTACACTTAATTTTCTAGCAATAAACATGATTTAAAATTTAAGATTCAAGGTAATTTTAGAAAATGTAGACATTGAAGCATCTGCTTTTCTACACCCTTATATTTACAAGGCCTTGCATCCACTGTGGTTTGCTCCTTAAACTCACTGATCACATTATCAATAAACAGTAACTGTGGTCCAAGTTACCTATGTTGAAGATTTCAGAATTCTTCGAAATTTTACAACACTACAAAGTCATTAATATCTGATTTCACAGGTTATAAGTATTAGTGTTATGCAATTTTTTGCTCTTGGAAAAGAAATAAAAATCTTTATGTTTTCTATCTAAATTATATCCAAGCTTCATTATCAGTTCTCAAGATAATATCTAAAATGTACATAACTAAAGAAAGGTAAAGCTGTTCAAGGGCTGAACTAGTCCAATATACAATTAAGACTACTTATTCCTGCTATATTTTTGTCTTTTTTATTCTTTTTAAATCCCTATATTAAAGCCCTGGTATCTCATTGATTAGATCATCATTATTATTGAAAAACTTCAGAAACTATTGTGCTAATATTTAGATTTCAGGAAGGAATCAGACTAAATCAATTACCTCCATTCGTTGTTAGAAGATAAAATAGCTTTCTAACTGATATGAATTATGAATGTCACTATGACACAAAAATTTGCTGTGATTCACTTATTTGGCTACAAGTGCAGTATTTTTATGAATGAAAACACACAGCATTTCCAACTTGTAACATGAAACTCCAACTCATAAAGAGTGTATTGTGTGACTTGAAAAAGTTTGATTGTAACAAAGTAACAACCTTTCCCCTGAAAAACATGAACAAAATCCATTGGGAAATCAGGCACAAACGGTATTTATCGGTTTTTCTTCCTTTCTTCCTGTGGTTTTGTTTCTCAAGACATATAGGTGGTTCCAACAGAATCCAACACTTGTTATAAAATGACACAGCTATTTTTTTCCTTTTCCTTTTCCTTTTCTTTTTCTTTCTCTTTTTCACGAGGTTCCTTTCGTTTACGTTCAGCATTCCCAGATTGTCTTCCACTTGATGGAGAGGCTGGTACTACTTGGCCCTGCTTTTAGAAAAATACACAGGAAGAAATTACCCCCAAATATTCTAAGGTGCTCAGTCATAGTTATCTAGCAAGAAAACCCACAAGAGTGAAAGAAATCATTAATGGAAAAAGAAGCTACTGGTATACAGACATGTTGTACTACATAGTGTAATTGCCATTGCCATTATGAATAGATATAATTCATATAGCAAGTATTCAAAATAAATGGAATTTCAAAGAATAACACTGAAGATTATATTACCTTAACCCTCAAATTGTAGAATTTTAAAGAAAGTGATGCCTTTTTGTAAACTAATTCTTTAAAAGTTCATTAAATACCGTAATTTTACTTTTGCTTTTCTAAAATATTTTAAATACAGGAAAATATAAAAAAAGAGTTCAGTGACCACACAGTTATAATAATTTTAATATTTTACCATATTTCCTTCATATGTATATAATACATCCATATACATACATACATTTTTTGAAAGCAGGGTGGATATATTAATATTACATAACATGGGACTCATGAAAAAGATCATGAAATGAGAACAAAAGGGTATATTATTATATAGAGGATATAACTCAGTGAAGATAACATTTGTAAATATCTGTATACCAAATAATAAGGTATCCATACACATATATAAATTTCCACAGATGAGAGAAAACATACAGTATTAGTCTGTGTCTGGCTTATTTGTCTTAACATAATGGTCCCTAATACCATACATTTTGTTGCAAAGGTCAAGATTTCATTCTGTTTTGTGGCTGAGTAATACTCCATTGTGTATATATACCACCTTTTCTTCATCCAGTCAACCAGATATGGTTGATTCCATATCTTTGTTATTGTGAACAAGCTGCAATAAACATGGCAGTGCAGGTATTTTTTTCACATGCTGACTAAATTTCCTTTGGATATATTCCCAAAAGTGGGATAACCATATGGTAGATCTGTTTTTAGTTTTTTGAGGAATCTCCATACTGTTTTCCATAATGGCTGTACTAATTTGCATTCCCACCAACAATGCAAGAAGTTTGTTTCCCTTTCCTTCACATTCTCACTAGCATTTGCTATTTTTGGATTTTTTAAAAATAATTGCCATTGTAACTGGCATGAAATGATATCTCATTGTCATTTTTTTCTTGTATTTTCCTGATGGCTGGTGATACTGAGCATTTTCATGTATATGTTGGCCATCTGCATTTCTTCTTTTGAAAATTGTCTATTCAGATCCTTTGTTTCTTAACTGTTATGTTGTTGTTGAATTTCTTGAACTCCTTTTATTCTCAATATTAATTCTGGATACTAATCCTTTATTAGATGCACAGTTTGCAAATATTTTTTCCCATTCTGTTTGTAGTTTCTTCACTCTGTTGATTGTTTCCTTTGCTGTGCAGAAGCTTCTTAGTGTGCTATAATCCCATTTGTCTATTTTTTGCTTTTATTGCCTGTGCTCTTGGGTCTTATCCAAAAAAATCATTGCTTCTGCCAATGTCTTGGAATAAATAAAATGAATAAACAAATTTTAAAAACAAAATAATTCTGATAACTGAGTGTGTAATAAGTGTATTCTGTAAAGTAAGATAACTTTTTGAGAAAAAAAATAATCATAACATCGTAGGATTCAAGTATTAAGCTTGAGGTAGTCAGTTTTTGAGCTAGAAAAAGAAATTTTATACTTATTTTAATGAGTAATTCTGTATTTTGTCTCATTAGACCTTAAAATCATTTTGTTTGCTTGTATATCCAAAACAAAAAGAACCTCTCTGGGATGACACAGTTAAACATAAAAGAAGGAGAATATTTTTCAGTTTGATGAAAAGTGATTTTACATACAGAAATCCATCTAATAGTAATATTTTCAATTGCTTATAACATTTAACTGGGTAAAGTGAGAACTGAAATGGTGCTGATCACTGCTGAATACATAGTACAGATCAGACATTGGGTTAAGTACTAATGCTAGGTATTTGTTCTTCACTATAAACCTAAGAGTTATGGGGCCAGGACTGTGGCATAGAAGGCTAAGCCTCAGCCTGAAATGCTGGCATCCCATGTGGGCACCAGTTCAAGTCTCAGCTGCTCTACTTCCAATTGAATTCTGTGCTAATGCGCCTGGGAAGGCAGCAGAAGATGGCTCAAGTGCATGGGCCCCTCCACCCATATGAGAAACCCAGAAGTTCTGGCTCCTGGCTATGGCCTGGCCCAGCCCTGGCCATTATGACCATTTGGGGAGTGAACCAGCAACTGGAAGATCTCTCTCTCTCCTTCTCCCTCTTCTCTCTCTTTTCTCTGTATCTCTGCCTTTCAAATAAATAAATAAAATCTTCACCAAAAAAATACACTAAGAGTTAAGTATTATCTTCCATTTTATAGATAAGAAAAATTAGTCTAAAAGAGGTAAAGGACTTTGTCCAAGGTATTCCAAATAGGAAAGAGAGACAGAAGAAGGAAATGCAAATCCACATTTCTCTGACTCCAAAGTCTACTTTTTCTGGTAGTACTTCATATTGTTCTCTAGTTGAGAGAAATTACTTTGCTCAAATTGGTTTATTTCTTTTGAAAGCTCCCAACTTCTGGTTCACTACCTAAATACCTGCTACAGATGGGTTAGGCCAGGCCAGGACCAAGAGCTAGAAACTCATCCCAAAAGGGTGGCAGAAAGCCAAACACTTGAGCTATCACAATTGCTGTTTCTTGGGGCCTGCATAGCAGGAAAGTGGAATCAGAAGCCATGACCAGGAAATCAATCCAGGCACTCCAATATGGGATGTCTCAACTGGTAGGTCAAATGCTGACCCCAAATAGGTTGATTTTCTTTAAAGCATTTAAGAACTTAAAAAAGTAAATTTGAAAAATGTTGCCATCAGAATTTTAGGAGAAATAATTTTATTATATGAGAAATAGGATAGTCACAACTTAGGATATAAAACCCATGGGTTTCAAAATGTTAATAAAACAAAGAGTCAAGATTTAATTTTAATTAATTTTTTTTACCTCAAGCAGAAAGTTCTTTATTGCTAAAATAATCCTTATATTTAAGAACTGGAACACTGGGTTTTACCTGTGCCTGTGTAGAGGAGGAAGCAGCAGCAGCAGCTGCTGCTGCTTGTTCTTGTTCTTGATAGTATTGAGAAGCCCGCCTATCCTCTTCTTCTTGGAGTTTCTTTGCTAGTTCCAAATCACTGATTCCTTCTGGGATTTGTTCCCAATTGATCTCTTGGTTCTGCTGTTCTTGTTGCAGAGACAATGCCATAAGGTAGTCCTAAGAAATTCAAATATAACCATCTTTAGCTATGAGATTTTACCTAAACATTAATGAGTACAATTGTAGGTGCTATAACTATAAAGCTACGAGAATGGGTTTGTAAAAAAGCACACTGGAGTTTAAATACTGAAATGAAAATTATTTTCCTAAGTCTTTCCTTTGGGTAGCTATGAACTTATTTCAGTGATGCTGTCATTGCTCTAAATATTTTTGGAATTCACTTTAAATTCTTTTTAGAAGCAGTATATAAGGTATTCACAAAAGCTTAAAAAATGTTTCCTTGTTTACAAAAGAAACATGTGCCCGCAAAAAATGCAAACAAAGCAGAAAACCATAAATTAGAATGTTTAAGTCACTATAATATTACACAGAGCTAACTACTATTACCAACTAATACATATCCACTTAGAATTTGCCTACACTTACATATAAACTCAAACACATCTCCCATTCTCTGAAACTGCTGTAGTCCGTTTCCTTTTCCATTTACTGTCATAAAAGTTTAGTTTATAAGAAAAGAATTTCCCAAGAATATTAACTGAATATTCTTCCAAAAGCTGCTTGTTAAAGCCAAGATAATAGTACATCATACAGTCATCCTCAATTACATAACAACTTTCTCCCTCCTCCCACATAAACACTCAGATAATCGCCTATGAGAAAAAAGTGGTACATTTTGGCAAAAAGTTCTATTATCTAACTCTATATTTATTAACATTTAAACACAGGCACTCCAACATGGCTGCATGAAACTTGGTAACTCTAACTTCAAAATAAGAGAATTTTAAATAATTCAGAGGCCATATAAAAGTTCATTTCTGGGGCCAGCACTGTGGCATAGTAGGGCAAGCCTCTGCCTGCAGCAGTGGCATCCCATACAGGTGCTGGTTCAAGTCCCAGCTGCTTCATTTCTGATCCAGCTCCCTGACAATGGCCTGGGAAAGCAATAGAAGATGGACCAAGGGCTTGGGCTCCTGCAGCCACATAGGAGACCTGGAAGAAGCTCCTGGTTCCTGGCTTCAGAATGGCCCAGCTCAGGCCATTACAACTATTTGGGGGCATGAATCAGCAGATGGAAGACCTGTCTGTCTGTCTCTCTCTATTTTTGCCACTCAAATAATAAATAAATCTTAAAATAAAATAAAAGTTCATTGCCTGTGAAGACCTTATACACTGTATATGTATGATGATTGGCCTCAAAAATCTATCCTTCAAGTTTTTTTCTTCATTTCTTCAAGCCCTGGTCCTTACCAAGCCCCATGATTTATTTTATTTTTTATTTCCTACATTCTTTTAAAATTTATTTATTTTCATTTTATTTGAGAGATATAGAGGCAGACAGGTAATTCCATCTGTTGGTTCATTCCTCAAATGCATGCAATAACTAGGGTTAGGCCAGGTCAAAACCAGGAACCCAGAACTCAATTCAGGTCTTTTTATTTTTTTTTTTTTTAAAGATTCTATTTATTTATTTGAGAGCTAAAGTTACAGACAGTGAGAGGGAAAGACAGAGAGAAAGGTCTTCCATCTGCTGGTTCACTCCCCAAATGGCTGCAATGGCCGGAGCTGAGCCGATCTGAAGCCAGGAGCCAGGTGCTTCTTCTCGGTCTCCCAGCTGGGAGCAGGGGCCTAGCACCTGGGCCATCCTCCACTGCTTTCCCAGGCCTTTGCAGAGAGCTGATTTGGAAGAGGAGCAGCTGGTACTAGAACTGGTGTCCATATGGGATGCCTCCGTTGGCAAAGAATTAACCTACTCCGCCCCTCAATTCAGGTCTTACACACAGGCGACAATATTTGAACAACTGCTTCCCACAGTGACATCAGCAGGAAGCTGGATTGGAAGCAAGCTAGCCGGAACTTGAACCAGCAACTCTGATATGAGATGTGGGTAACTTACTTGCTGTGCCATAAACCCACCCCATCTCACGACCTTAAATCCTATTCCTTCCTTTTTTATTCCATAAACACTAATCTCAACATTTTACAATTAGATTACCATAACTATCTATTGTTGCTTTGCCTTCATTCCCTTTGCTCCAGTATTTTTACATATATTGGTTAGGAAAATCCTATATACATTTTAAATAACATTTCAAAACAATACCCCTGAATAGATTCTGAAAGAAAATTAGTACACTATCACAGCTGTTTCTCAAAAAGTCGAGTCCTAGAAAGATCAGCATTCTTTTAAATCAAGTATTCATTAATATACTCATAGCTTGCTATTCAAATTGCTATTAAATAACTTAGTATATAATAATAGTTGGTCAAATATCTACTTCTTCTGCTAGACTGTAGCATCTTTGAAAACGAGACTGATCTGTTTTTGAATCCCAGAACTTAGTTACAGTGCCAGGAATACAACTGCTCATTTGCCAAAGGAACAGTGTCTATGCACTTAAATTGTTATGGGCAAAATATGTGTCAGCTGTTTCCATTGGCAAATTTTGGCTTCAGTCGGGGAAGAATTAATATTACCATTATATTTTGAATAAGCAGCACACCTGTGGCTCCAAGTCTGCTCAACTATGGCAAAAATCTCATTTGTCTCAGCCCTACATGACAGTTCGACCCCGTAGTGCAGTTCATGCTGTTAAGTATTGCTCTTGGTTAGCTTGGAATATTGGATATTCTAAAGCTTAGAATATCCACCTACTTATCACTCAGCACATGCTATCTTCTAAACTCTCTGCATTTTTCTGATTAGGTAAAATATATCTCAAATGTGTGCTTCTCTCTCCCTCACAAGGCTAAGCCCTCATCAATGCTTTTTTTTAAAAAAAAGTTATTTACTTGAAAAATCAGAATTACACAGAGAAGGAGAGGCAGAGATAGAGTCTTCCATCCACTGGTTCACTCCTCAGTTGGCCGCAACAGCTGGAGCTTCACTGATCCGAAGCCAGGAGCCAGGAGCTTTGTCCAGGTGTCCGATGCGGGCGCAAGGGCCCAAGGACCTGGGCCATCTTCCACTGCTCTCCCAGGCCATAGCAGAGAGCTGGATCTCTCTGCTATGTGGAGAAGCCAGGACTCGAACTGGCGCCCATATGGGATGCTAGCACTGCAGGCGGCGGCTCTACCCATTACACCACAGCGCCGGCTCCATAAATAAATCTTTTTTTAAAAAAATAATTATCATCTGTGACCAGAGCTCAGTTTTAGATGGTTGGTTCTCAGTGCGGCAATGCTTGCAGGTTGGACTTTTTTTTTTTTTTTTTGACAGGCAGAGTGGACAGTGAGACAGAGAGAAAGGTCTTCCTTTGCCATTGGTTCACGCCCCAGTGGCCGCCGCAGCCAGCGCGCTGTGGCTGGTGCACTGCGCTGATCCGAAGGCAGGAGCCAGGTGCTTCTGCTGGTCTCCCATGTGGGTGCAGGGCCCAAGCACTTGGGCCATCCTCCACTGCACTCCCAGGCCGCAGCAGAGAGCTGGACTGGCAGAGGAACAACCGGGACAGAATCCGGTACCCCAACCGGGACTAGAACCCGGTGTGCTGGTGCCGCAGGTGGAAGATTAGCCTAGTGAGCTGTGGCGCCGGCCTGCAGGTTGGACTTTTAAGAGGTGGGGTCAAGTAAGAGGTCCTTATGTCGATTCAGGTACTCAGGGGACTGATACTAGGCTCTTTGGTTTCCTGTTTAGAGATGTGATCTCTTCCTTCCACATGTCCTCCCACTGCTGTAATGCTTTGCACAGTTAGGCCTTCACCAGGGACCAAATCAATAGGGCTACTCAGTCATAGACTTTGAACTCTAAGACAAATAAACCTCTTTTCTTTATAAAGTTGGCCTACTTCAAGTATTTTGTTTCAGTAATAAAAAAAAATCAGACTAGTACATTTGCTATGCATTCTTCACACAACAGTCATTTAAAACAGGTAAAGTAGATCATGTCATTTTCATGTCTAACATTCAGCATGGCTTTCCTACTGCAATTAGAATAAAATCCAGGGGCCAGCACTGTGACGTAGCAGGTCGCCACCTGCAGTGCTGGCATCTCATATGGATGCCAGTTTGAGTCCTAGCTGCTCCACTTCTGATCTAGCTCTCTGCTATGGCCTGGGAAAGCAATGGAAGATGGCCCAAGTCCTTGGGACCCTGCACCTGCATGGGAGACCCGGAAGAAGTTCTTGGCTCCTGGCTTTGGATTGGCGCAGCTCCGGCTGTTGTGGCCAATTGGGGAGTGAACCAGTGGATGGAAGACCTCACTCTCTCCGCCTCTCCTTCTCTGTGTAACTCGTTCAGATAAATAAATAAAAATCTTAAAAAAAAAAAAAAAAGAATAAAATCCAAACTCCTAACCATGACTTTCATAGTTCAACACTATCTGGGCTTCTGAACCAAAGGATATACTTAAAATACATACAGATCACTTACCCATTTAGGAAGCATCAGAGAAATTTCACAAGTATATTAATGAATGAATCTTTGATTCTAAAGTTTAGAGTAACTGATTTTACATTTGAAAGGAATTACCATTTTGGGGCCAGCATTGTGGCATAATGAGTTAAGCAGTCGCCTACAACAGCGTGGCTATCTCATATGGGTGCTGGTTCGAGAACTAGCTACTCCACTTCTGATTCAGATCCTTGTTAACGTGCCTGGGAAAACAGGAGAAGATGGCCCAAATGCTTGGGTCCCTACATCCACATGGGACACCAGGACAAAGCTCCTGGCTCCTGGCTTCAATCTGGTCCAGCCCAGGGCATTGCGGCCATTTGGGGAGTGGACCAGGAGATGGAAGATCTTTCTGTTTACCTCTCTCTATATATAACTCTGCCTTTCAAATAAATATAGTAAGTTGTTTTAAAAAATGAAAAACAAAAAGAAATTACCATTTTAAACAAGATGAAGAAGACAAACCAAAATTACCTGGTCTATCTGATCTTGTTGTCCTTTGTATACAGTTTCAGGATCTGAAGGAGGCCGCAGATGAAATTCTGAGTCACAGAAATTTCCATCACCATCTACATTGTGCAGGCTTTCCCAAACAATTTTTTCTTCAGTAAGAAATCCCTGGTCAGTTACTAACAAATACAGTTGACCCTTCATAAGAAATAATAAAAGAAAAAGACAATTAAATTGATCAAAATTAGTTAATATACTATTAAAGGAAATTTTTGTCTATATATTTATAGTGTATTAATTATTCTCACTAGGTCTGCACAACATATACAATAGATGAAGTGGATGTCTTATTTGTCCACATCAACCTTCTCTGAATGTAGTTTATAATTGTCACATTACAGCATTAGGAGAAATGGCTCTCGGTATGTTCTAAGATTTGACTTAACAACAGCACTATGGGGGCTGGCACTGTGGTGTAGTGGGTAAAGCCACCACCTGCAGTGCTGGCATCCCACGTGGGCTCTGGTTCAAGTCCCAGTTGCTGCACTTTATCCTGCTCTCTGTTATGGCCTGGGAAAGCAGTAGAAGATAGCCCAAGTGCTTGGGTCCCTGCACCCACGTGGGAGACCCAGAAGAAGCTCCTGGCTTCAGATAGGTGCAGCTCTAGCTACTGTGGCCATCTGGAGAGTGAAGCAGCAGATGGAAGACCTCTCTCTCTCTCTCTTCTGCCTCTCCTTCTCTCTCTGTAACTCTGCCTTTCAAATAAATAAATCTTTAAAAAAAATAAAAAAGGATGGAATTTGGACAGCAAATATATCCTAATTAGGGATTAAGAAGGTGAAATGATGGTAAAAGCACAGCAATGAGAAAGCAGAAAGTATGTGCAGGGATGGAGGATTATCAGTGAGAAGATAGATACCATTTTGGATGAAGCAATGTGTTGATATGGGAGAACAGAGCATATCTTTCATTTTTATCCTTTATGACTAGGTGTTACCGAATATTTTTGCTGTGTTATAGACATAGTAAGAACAGTGTTCTATCATAGAAGTCTAATTAGCAGTTGATAAATTCCTGAAGTAGGTGACAGCTGTAAAAACTGAAGGGATCAATGCAAGAGAACAAAAAGGGTGATTCAGTAAGTTTTTTTCCCCTAGAACTATAAATGACACTATAAAAATTTAAAGTCACATTGATAATTGAAACAGCAAATAATATCATAAACAAAAATCTTAATTCTCCTAATTTCCTTTAATCCATCATTCTTTAGAAGTCATCTTAGGGGCTGGTGCAGTGGCGTAGCAGGTAAAGCTGCGGTCTGCAGCACCAATATCCCATATGGGTGCCGGTTTGTGTCCCAGCTGCACCATTTCCAATCTAGTACCCTGCTAAAGGCATGGAAAGCAGCAGAGGATAGCCTAAGTGCTTGGGTCTCTGCCACCCACATGGGAGACTCAGATGAATATCTTGGCTCTTGGTTTTGCCTACCCCAGTCCTGGAAACTACAGTCATCTGTGAAGTAAACCAGCGGATGGAAGATCGCTCTCTGTGTGCATTTCTCTCTCTCTAACTCTTTCAAATAAATAAATAAATCTTAAAAAAGGTCATCTTAGTTGTAATTTTCTTAGAAAATAGTAAATTCTTCTCTTCCTCTCTCATCTTCTTATTATTTGATAGTTTGATTTTTTTTGACAGGCAGAATGGACAGTGAGAGAGAGAGACAGAGAGAAAGGTCTTCCTTTTGCCATTGGTTCACCCTCCAATGGCCACCGCGGCCAGCACGCTGCGGCCGGCACATCGCGCTGATCTGAAGCCAGGAGCCAGGTGCTTCTCCTGGTCTCCCATGGGATGCAGGGCCCAAGCACTTGGGCCATCCTCCACTGCACTCCCTGGACACAGCAGAGAGCTGGCCTGGAAGAGGGGCAACCGGGACAGAATCCGGCGCCCCGACCGGGACTAGAACCCGGTGTGCCAGCGCCTCAGGCGGAGGATTAGCCTATTGAGCCGCGGTGCCAGCCGTAAATTCTTCTTAATGCAATAATCTGTGAAAAAGAAGTTGAGACTTAATAAAACAAAAATTGATTTGAAGTAACACTTCAATTGCTAATCATTCCATCTTAGAAAAGTATTTAATACATCTATTAAATGCTTCTTTGTAAATTTAATGCAAATAAAGAGCATAAACAGGAAAGAAAGTAAGTGTCCACATGTAGCAAGAAGCTTAATATGACATTTGGCAACATAAATTTCAATAATTTTTTCTAAGGGAAATATTTAAAAAAATTTTTGTAATGATACTGATATGTCATGAAGATTACAAATAACATTAAAGAAGCATTTAATAATTGCCTCCATAATTTGATGATTAAGATATACTATGGTAAAATCTTTTGTTGTGAGCAGATCAAAAGATAACTCTAAATCAAATTCTTTTGATTTAGAACAACAAATAGCTAGCTCTACATCATACCTTGTATTTGGTCATGGTGCTAAAATGATTATTTCGAAAGAACACACAAAGTTCTCCTTCTTGAACCGTTGAAGTTAATTCACATAATCCATGGTATGTCAGTTGGGTGGCTGTATTATTTAGAAACTGCTCAGCCACAAAGCCTATGGAAACAATGCATAATGATTAGATGGAAGAATACTTTCAAAATTAAAGAGTTATTTTCTATTTACTCTCTGTTCTAAGTACAGAGAACAGCCAGTCAGTATAAGATGTTTCCTACTCTTATATGATTACCTCAAAGATTCAACTCTATTTTTTCTGTAGAAGATAAATATTCCCACCTAAAAAATAGTTATGTGAAATTCTTTTCACCAACAGATATTTACTTAAACTTCACCTACTTCCAAAAATGACTTCAGAGAGCTTGCAATAAAAGGCACAGAAATAATACAATTAAAACTTATTAAAGCACATAAAAGGAGTTAACCACTTAAAAAGTGGGTAGGAGAGAAAGATATGTATCAATAGCTACTTTCCCTATGGCAAGGTGCTCAGAAGTTAAAAGTAGCCTTAACAAATTGAGCCTTAACAAAAATTGGCATAAGATTTTAACAAACAGCACAGATAATTCTCTAGTTGCAAACTGCTCATTTTGTGCCTTAAAACTAAACACAGACATTAAGATTAAACAGAAAATGGTGGGATACTGATGCCATTTTTATCCTAATTTCCTCAAACATTACATTCATTATGTAGATACATCAAGTTCAGACAAGAATGATCTTTGGTTTTTGAAATAATACTTAAAATATAAAAATGTTTTCTGGGGTTTAATTTAAAACATGTATGCAGAGTAGATTCTCATTAACTGTGGGTTGATATTTGCAAGTTAATCTACTGGCTAAAATTCATTAACAACCCCAGAATCAATATTCATAGCACTTTCATGATCCTTTTGTGACTATGTGACAATTGACCAAAAGTTTGAGTCACCTGAGTGAGATATACACAACCAACTGAGGTCAAACAGGACAACACTCTGCCTTTTTCCTTCAAATCTCATGTTAAATAAGTGTCCTTTCACGGTTTACTTAGTGCCACATTTTTTACACTTTTGTACTTAAAAAATTATCCTAGGCAACGGCAAAGTGCTAGCTAGTTTTCTTAGTGACAAACGCTCTGATGTGTCTTCTAGAGAAAATACATTGTTAGCTAAGCTTTGTTCACACCTGAGTTGTAGTGCTGCTCACTATGAGTTTAAGGCCAATGAATCAACAATATATATGAAAACAAGGTTATATATTGATCAGTTGATGAAAATGTCACCAGAGGCACACAAGAACCTAAACTCTGCATTTTCCTAGGAGCAATGGTTAATATTTCAATGTACACAACAACTATAAAGAACGTAATGAGAATCAACTGTATAAATATTTTAAAAACCCATGTTTCTCTTTTTTCTCTTCCCGTTCTGCTCCTCTCTTTTAGTAAGAAAGAAATATCCCAGGAAATATAAGAGGAGGGGAGGGGAAGGGCCTCTTAAAAGGTTTTTAAGTGAGTTGAGAGGGACAGATGTAGGCTGTTAAGATCAATCTACATAAGAAAATAACACCTCAACAAGAAATTGAAAAGAAACTTAGTAGGGCCAGAGGCAGCATGATAATGTAGGATTACTCAATGTCTTTTCCATTCTTTAGTGTCAAGCCATAGCATTTTAATCTGCAAAGTAGTTGTAAGAGTTAAAAATACATCACACCACTCCAAAGACCAAGGTAGGAGAGGGAGTGGGAAAATTATAAAGAGGGCTACAGAAAGGATATTATAGCATATGTCTTGGATTTATGATGTAACTTGAGTTTATAGATTTAAAAATAAGAGCTCCCCTTTCCATTATTGTTGCTTTACTACAGACTAAGTTATCTAGCAGAATGTATCAGTTATATACTAGAGCATTTACTATTATGTAACATTAATTTGTTGATTTATTCACTTAGTAAAGATTTATATACTTACTTGAAAGAGTTACAGAGTTGGGGGAGGAGAGAGAGAGAGAGATCTTCTACCACTGCTTCACTCCCCAAAGGATGGCAATAGGGGCTGGATTAGGCTGAAGCCAGGAGCCAGGAGATTCATCCAGGTCTCCTACAATGGTGGCAGGGTGTGGGGAGCAACTCGGACTAGACTAAGTTACTGGAATTAAGACTTATTCTATGCATCTGCTCTCCCACAATATGGCGCTGGGAGAGGAGTAAACAACTTCTACACAGCTGCCTCTTGCCAATTTGACTGATGAGCTGCAGGAGCTGATCTTGCTCCTGATTGGAGGAGAGCAGCGTGCTCGGCGTGTGGGTAGCAGAGTTGGGATTGGTGGAAGAGGACTATAAAGGAGAGAGACAACATGCACCGGGAACATCCGGATAACATCTGAGCAGCCCCCGAGAGAGCTGGCCGGCGGTGTGCCGCTCCCCCGCGGAAGTGGGGAAAGTGGCAGGGGGAACCGCCCCTCCACGGAGGTGGAGGGGTCGGCAGCCAACCCGGGAAGAACCAGCAGCAAACCTGGGAAGAGCCGAGCAGACAAAAGAACAACGCAGGGTTTAGTGTCGTTCCTCCGCGAAGATGGGGGAGCGACAGCAGGGGCCCAAGCATTGGGCCATCTTCTTATAAAACTTTTCTTAGCCACATTAGCAGGGAGCTGGATCACAAATGAAGCAGCATAGACTCGAACTGGCAATCACAGGGGATGCTAGCATTGTAGACGGAAGCTTAACCCACTGGACCACAATGCTAGCCTCATATTATGTAACATTTAAGAAGTAAGTTATGGGGCTGGCACTGTGGCGTTGCCTGCAATGCTGGCACCCCATATAGGTACCAGTTCTAGTCCCGGCTGCTCCACTTCTGATCCAGCTCCTTGCTGGTATACCTGAGAAAGCAAAGGAGGATGACCCAATTGCTTGGGACCTTGCACCCTCATCGGAAACCTGGAAGAAGCTCCTTTCTCCTGGCTTCAGATCAGCCCAGCTCCAGCCATTGCAGCCACTTGGGGAGTGAACCAATGGATAGAAGACCTCTCTCTCTCCACTCCTCCCTCTCCCCACCCCTTCTTTCACTCTGCCTTTCAAATAAAATAAATAAATTTAAAAAAAAATGTCTTGGGCAAGTCACTTACTCTTTCTGAACCTATGTCATGTTCTCTGAAAAGAAGTAACTAAGATCTTTCTAGCATTAAATTTTTCAATTTCAGAATCACATGAGGTAGTAGTGTCTTCACTGAGTTTCTGAATCTTTTTGAAAGCAATTTGCAGTGAGGATTTCCATGAGTGAAGAGTGGAAAGGGTGTTTAGAAACATCTTTCCAAAGAGAGCATTTGGTGATGGATATTACAAACATCAGGGCTACTTCTCTGCACAAGTATATTCCTTTATTTATTTATTTATTTTTTAAGATTTATTTATCGGGACCAGTGCTCTGGCATAGCAAGTAAAGCCGCCACCTCTGAAGTGCTGTCATGCCATATGGGTGCTGGTTTGAGTCCTGGCTGCTCCACATCCAGTCCAGCTCCCTGCTAATGCTCCTGGGAAAGCAGTAGAAGATAAAGTCCTTGGGCCCCTACATCCATGTGGGAGACCCAGAAGTTCCTGGCTCCTCGCTTTGGATAGGCCAAGCTCCAGCTAACTCTGCCTTACAAATAAATAAATATTTTTTTGACAGGCAGAGTTAGACAGTGAGAGAGAGACAGAGAAAGGCCTTCCTTTTTCTGTTGGTTCACCCTCAAGTGGCTGTGCCAATCTGAAGCGAGGAGCCAGGTGCTTCTTCCTGGTCTCCCATGGGGTGCAGGGCCCAAGCACTTGGGCCATCCTCCACTGTACTCCCGGGCCACAGCAGAGAGCTGGACTGGAAGAGGAGCAACTGGGACAGAATCCGGCACCCCGACTGGGACTAGAACCCAGTGTGCCGGTGCTGCAGGCAGAGGATTACCCTAGTGAGCCGCAGCACCGACCATAAATTTTTTTTTAAAAATTAGCTTATGGGGCCAGGGCTGTGGCGTAGGGGGTAAAGCTGCCACCTGCAGGGCTGACATCCCATATGGGTGCCAGTTCGAGACCCGGCTGCTCTACTTCTGATCCAGCTCTCTGCTATGGCCTGGGAAAGTAGTAGAGGATGGCCCAAGTCCTTGGGCCCGTGCACCTGTGTGGGAGACCTGGAAGAAGATCTTGGCTCCTGGCCGGCGCCGTGGCTCACTAGGCTAATCCTCCGCCTTGCGGCGCTGGCACACCGGGCTCTAGTCCCGGTCGGGGCGCCGGATTCTGTCCCGGTTGCCCCTCTTCCAGGCCAGCTCTCTGCTGTGGCCAGGGAAGTACAGTGGAGGATGGCCCAAGTCCTTGGGCCCTGCACCCCATGGGAGACCAGGAGAAGTACCTGGCTCCTGCCATCGGATCAGCGCGGTGCGCCGGCCGCAGCGCGCCGGCCATTGGAGGGTGAACCAACGGCAAAGGAAGACCTTTCTCTCTGTCTCTCTCTCTCACTGTCCACTCTGCCTGTCAAAAAACAAAAGTAACAAAGATCTTGGCTCCTGGCTTCAGATCGGTGCAACTCTGGTCGTTGCGGCCAAATGGGGAGTGAACCAGCAGATGGAAGACCTCTCTCTCTCTCTGTCTCTCCTCTCTGTGTAACTCTTTCAAATAAAGTAAATAAATCTTTTTTAAAAAATTAGCTTACCAAATCATTTTCCTCTTTAACTAGAGAGTTGTTAGAGAACATAAAAATACCAAGTACCATAAAGAAATTGAAATTAGAAGGGCACTAAAATTAGGTAAAAAGGAATAGAAAGTGGACACATTAGGAAAGGAAACTGATTTATGTAAGAAGGTTTCTACTTTGTGGCTCTTCCTGAGATTTAAAACCAAATTTAAGTTGAGTCAGGTCTTAACATTGTCACTATGACAGATTCATCCAAATGATCTGAATTTCTTTCTAGTTTAATCTACATTTAAGTTTCAAAAAAACCAGATATAGTGGGCTAGCACTATGGTGCAGCTGGTTAAGCTGCTACCTGTGACACTGGCATCCAATGAGTGCCAGTATAAGTCCTGGCTGCCCCACTTCTGATCCAGCTCTCCACTGATGCACCTGGGAAAGCAGCAAAAAAGGTATTTTGTGG